CAGCCATAATTGGAATCCAAATAATGCAGAAAATAATCCTACACCAGCCTAGAGCAACTCCCCAGTCAGGATATGGAATATTGCCATAATAAGGTCTATGAAATTGTACCAATGACCAGACAAAAATTGCCTATGAAAATAAATATGAAAAGACAAAGCTAAAGATTATACTTTATTAAAGAAAGTAAAACTTCATTGCACTAATGATTAGAATTTGATTCTATTCTTTAGAAGCAATTTGTCAAAACAATTAAAATTTAAATATATTCAAGCAATGAAGATAATCAGGTAATGAGCCAGAGGATAACAATATGAAATGAACCAAACTAAGTAACTTCTGTTTTGCTCTGAATAAGTTCTTTCAAAATTAATACCTCCCTATATCTATAAAAATACAAATGTTTGTTCAACACGTATTTAGATAAAATAGTTGACCATGTAATAAATCAAATTAAAGGTAAATAATATCTGAAATTTTCTGTTATTGAGTTTTCAAATTTAATTTATAATGGCATGGTTTTATTCTATGCCAAAAGTTAACTAACATATCAATTAATTCTATGAGAAAATAAAGCACAGTTTAGTAGACATGCTTCTCTCCTTGATTAGCAATTGCTTCTGTTATTTCCCATTGCACACAGCACCCCTTTCTCTGCTGCTAAAATATACACGCATTTAATATAATACTAGCATATTTCCTAAGTCACACTTCACCTCCAGCGTCTAACTGAGAAAAAAGCAAAAGAAAAAAAGCTCAATATATGTTTCCATAATGCAGTGAAATATTGCAAGATCTGGTTGCTATAAAAGACAGAGAACTGCCTACAGCTTGTCTCTCCACATATGCGTTTCTGTTGGCTATGTTAATAGATTGTAAAAATCTTTATAAATAGATAATGCAAGTTCAATTTTTATAATAAAATAGGTTAATTCTTTTAATTTGATTACAGTAATTTAAATGTATTTAACGATTACCATAATTATACATAACCATAAGAGAAATGATGAAGGATAGTAGAGACCAATATGCATGACTTTATGCAAAATACATGGCAATGAGTATCATTAGATATTTAATACTTTTCATTTTAAAGTAAATTCAGGTGTCAAACTATGTAATTAATGAAAAAGAGCTGGTTAAGAAGTCTAGTTAGGGGCTGGCAGGTCATGTGGTGGTTAAGGTACTGGATTTCCACATGGCTGACCATGGTTTCAGTCTCAGACCTGGCAGATTGTCTCTCTTTGTTTGTTTGTTTGTTTGTTTTTTGGAGAGGTTTTCACTATAGGGTGCGTGTGCTCACCAGACAGACAGAGAGAGACAGAGAGACAGAAAGCGAGAAATCATCCCCCAGGGGGGATGGTCACGCCGCAATCCCTTCTCCTCCATTCTCCTCTCAGGATCTTGGGCATGCACGCACACGCGCCCAGCGTGAGTTTTAAGCCACCGGGTCCGGGACACGAACCACGGTCGACTACGTGGGAGTCCAGCGACATAGCCATTACGCTAACTGCAGATTCCCTCTCTGTCTCTCTTTGATCAAATTAAAAATAAATAAATGATAATAATTTAAAAAAGAAGTCTAGCTAGATCTTCTCAGTTGATAATGGATTTATTTTATGATGGAGACTTGTCAAATGAGGAAAACGATATTTCATGGTACTTTCAAAGTCATTTAGCAAGAATACAGATCATGCAAGCATTGTAAGCATCTTGCACATGCAAGAGCATGTGACATATAGCAAAAACCTTTAAAAAACATGAAGACAATGAGAACGAAAATATACCTATGAAGCTTATCAAGTATTCAATTCGCCACCATTTTCTCTAGTGCATAGTAATTCTTTATCCCATGAAGCATTTATTTTTTACATTAAGCCATGTATTATACTGAATTATTATTTAAAATATCATGTCTATATGTCATAGCGCTATAGTAAGACACTTCTTGTTTTCCCTCAGCTCTAAATAGTAACAATAGTTAAATTTAACAAACTATTGCCTTTGACGTAAATCAGTTTCTTTAGTAATTTCAGATATTAAACCTTAAACTATAAAATTACTGGTACAAAACAAAGGTGAAACTCTTGGAGACATTGGAGTAGGTAAATACTTTTAAAATAAGACCTTCAAAGCATAGGCAATAATCTAAAAAATACACAACTGAGACTACATTAGGCTAAAAAGCTTCTGCACAGCAAAAGAAACAATAATTAGGATGAGGAGACAACCCTCAGAATGGGAGAATATATTTGTAAACTTTGCCTCAGATAAGAGACTGATAACCAGAATATACAGGGAACTCAAGTAGCTTACCCCCCACCCAAAAAATAATAATAATCCAATTAAAAATGAGAAAATGAGCTGAACAAACAATTCTCCAAGGAATACATTCAAACAGCCAAAAAGTATATGGAAACATGCTCAACATCTCTTGCCATAAGGGAAATGCAAATCAAAACCATAATGAGATACCACTTAACCACAGTTAGAATGGCTAAGATTACAAAACTAAAGAATAATAAGTGCTGGCAAGGCTAAGGTGAAAAGGGAACTCTCCTATATTGTTGATAGGAATGTAAATTAGTACTACCACTGTGGAAAATAATATGGAAGTTTCTCAGAAACTTGCAAATAGAACTACCATATGACCCAGTAATTCTACTTTTAGATATCTACCCAAAGGATAGAAAAGCACTCAGTAAGAAAAATATTTGCACATCCATGTTTATTGTAGCATTATTCACAATTGCTAGGACATGATATCAACCCAAATACCCATAGCAGATGAGTGGATTAAAAAATGTGGCACATGTACTTTATAGATTTATACTCAGACATTAAAAAAAAAAAGAAATGAAACCATGACATTTCATACAAAGTGGGTGAATAAGGAAGAGTTAATGGTAAGTGCTGACATTTCATACAAAGTGGGTGAATAAGGAAGAGTTAATGCTAAGTGAAGCAAGTCAGAATATAAAAGACAGACATTGTGTGTTCCAACTTAATATATACCAAATATCTGTTCTCTATAGAATAAACTGGAAAATATAATAGTGAGGGCAAGTGTAGATACTGGAGACAGTATAGAAGGGGGTGGGGAATAAGGGGTGAGGGAGGGGATCAGAAAAAAAACAAAACATTTAATAGACATAGAAATGAAAAGATATCTGTTGGTGATAATGTATATGGTAATGTCCTTGACTGGACCAATATGCAGTGTATTCATGGGAGAAACCATGTTGTATACTGTAAAGATGTACAATGATTAATTGTAGATTTAAAAAATTTAAATAAAATAATTCTATCCCACAAAGAGGAAAATATTTCCATTAAAATCAGAGTATGTTTAAACTGAATTTCTTAAAGGCAGGACCCACTCTTTATATTTTCTGTATGTAGCAGAGAGTAGAAACATTGTCAATGGTTCAGTATATTTCTTAGGGAATGAACAAATTCATTATATATTTTTATTTATCCTATTGATAATTTACAAGTTATTGATAACTTTTAAATCTGTTATTATTGTTTGGATAATAATTTATTTCCCAAAGTTTCATGTTTTGGACTTTGATATTGTGAGGTGATGAGGCCTGGTGGGCAGTGATTAGATCATAGTGATTTCATCATAGAGGCACCACTCTTATGAATATATTCCTAATGTTTAGTGAGACCCAGTTGAATTCTAGCTGTCGTGAAAGAGGATTAGTCCTTCCAAGAGCTGGTCGCTATAAGAGACAGAGCCTGCAAGACTGTAGCTTACTTCTCAAGTGCCTACCATCCTTCGTGTTTCCATTGGCCATGTTGTAGACTGGCCTGATGCCCAGTCTATGCCATCAAACTTTCCAGCTACCAGAACTGTGAGTCAATAAACCCTTATTTCTTTCTGAATCACCCCGTCTTATGTATTTCTGCAGCAATGCAAGAAGAAATATGACACTGGTTTATTTCCTCAAATAGTAAATATTTAAACTCATGGCCTCAAAAATAATACTACAAAAGTATTTGAATTTAGGCAACTTGAAAGTGTTAACCATAAATACTACAAAATTTGAAAATCATTCATTTACATTACTTCATTATTCCAATGTGAATTATTATTCAAGTTTTTTTAGAAATGTTTAAATGTATATATTATCCATACCAAATTCATGGTATATTATTACTTACAATCAAAAGGATAGGTGTAATGACAAACCAACAAGCTCTCCACCATAGCCAGAACATCCACCTCTTTGCTCCAATCATCATTTCTATATCTTCAATGAATCTGTTCCCTCCTAAAGAAAACATCAAAGAGTGTATTGATCCTTTGCTCTAATAATCATTGCAAACCCAGTTATCTTACTATGTCCAAATATTTTATTTAAATATGTTGTATACTAATGAATCATATACCTCTAACTATATTTTCTTGATATATTTTACTCAATATATTCTCCTTTACTATATTACAATAGTATAATTACTAATAGTATAATTGTGTAAACATAATAGAAAGAAATTAAAATATTTTCATAAAACTTATAAATAATTTTATAATCACTATTTACCATAAATCCAGATGATTCCTACTACTTCCAGTATAGCTGCAATCAAAATGCCCCATCCAGCACAGAAGTGGTCAATCAGATGAACCCAGTAAATTCCAGCCTACCAAAAAAAATTAGTGACTTCTGTTTTAATGATTTTTCTTACTGTGGAGGTGTTTAAAATAAGTCTATAGCTGCCAAGTGACCTATAGTATATGTGTAAAGTCTATAATCTCTTTCTAGTTTAGGAAATTGTCCATTATTGGGCCTCATCCTCTGCAAAATATGCTTACTACTGAAGTTATAATGGTGGGGTGGGAATGAGCTAAACGTCAGAAGACTGATTCAAGTTAGACGTAGACTTGTCGCTAAATATACTCTTGAGTTTTGGTTTCCTCATTCAGATTATAAAGCATATTCCAACTAATGAGTTATCCACGAAAAAAAAAAAATAAAGTTTTAGTATACCTGAGTCACACAGACAAGTCCAAGGAGAAACAAAACCATGCAGCAACCCAAAGTTATTGGAATCCTCATTTTCTTCATCACTTTGGGAAATAAATCTTGAATTGTTGTTGTAATCGTTTCTTTGGGGGAAAAAAAAGTGACATGCATATGTCAACTTATTTGCCAATAAAGTTAAGCACATAATTCACATTAGTCAAATTTGCAAATATAGGTTGAAAATATACTCTGGGCCCTGCTCCTTGCTTTTAAAATTTTATTGGTTTCTTTTTCTAAGTAGCTAATAAATACTTGCTCATCCTGAAGAAAATGAATTGTAGCTCTATTTGTTGTTTTTACTGTTTCATAATTTCATTGATAGCAGCTATAAGTTAATAGATACCTGTGGGCTGAAGTAGTTTGAAAGAAGCTTATAAGGAAGGAAGAATTCTAGTAGGACTTTTAGATAAGGTAAATATTTGAATAAGCGGTGCAAAGACAAAAGAGTCTAGGTTTAAGAAATAAATATGCTAAAAAATTATGGTATGGGTAAGAGTAGAAGGATGTATGGGTGCAATCATTAGGAAATATATTTAATATTTTTGAGAGCTTTAACCAGAGATATCTATATTTTATGTATAAACAGAGTAGATGATTAACATATTTTATGAAAGCGGGAAATGTGATAAAAATTTTTTCAGAATTTTTCACTGTGTACCCTCCATGTAGACAGAGCCATGTGCAAGGACAGTCATTGCAGTAGAATGATAATAAAATATGAATATAACCCAAATGCTCATCATCCTGTCAACAGATTGTTAACTATATCTATGTCTATCAGCATGGATTCATAATGCACGTATAAAAAAACTATCAGAGTAATGTGTATGCTATGAAACTTCACACTTGTGTGAAATTTTTCGATTTTATGTTATTTGTGGAAACATACAAAATGTCTGCAAACATGGACTGAATAACATATACAATCCATAATGATGATTACTTCTTGGAAAAAGGGTGAATTTTATTAGAGATATAAACACAGATGACTGCAAATTCACCTGTAACAGCTTATAAAAAGTATCTGAGACAGTATAAAATATCAATGTTTGTTTCTTTCGAGTGTCAAGTGCATGTATACTTTGTCTCTTTCCATATTTAAAATTTAAGTTAAAAATGTTTTTCAGAAAGATTATTCTGAGAGTAACAGCTAGAGGAGACAGCAGCAGTAAGAAAAGGAACTTTTCAAGTAAAGAAAACATGAATAAAATATACTGAAGGTGAGGCCAGCAGGTGGCAAGGTGGTTAAGGGTGCTGGATTCCCACATGGCCAACTACGGTTTGAGTCCCGGACACGATAGCTTGCTTTCTCACTTTCCCTTTCTCTCTCTCTCTGTCTCTGTCTGGTCAAATCAAAAAATAATAATAATAAATGGGAATAAATAAATCTAAATATATATATACTGAAGGTACTACTTACCAATGGAAGCAAACTGAGAATCCAGACCCAAAGTTAAAAGCATGAAGAAAAATAATATGGACCAAAATGGACCACCTGGAAGTTGGGCTAGAGCTTCTGGATAGGCAATGAAAGCCAAATCAAAACCTAAGAAGAATGTATAGTATTTCAAATTAATTTACCAGAAAATCCAAGAAAATCTAGTCATTAAAAAAAAAAAGATACTAGAAAAATCTCATCTTCATTTTGCAATGCAATCCATAACAAATATTCTTTATCAACCGTTTCAGTTACACTTTGAAAAATATTTGATTTGGCTGTTTTACAGTGTCATACTGTGAACACGTGAATTAAGCTATTGAGACAAATTTTGTATGTAGTACATTTCTCACATGAAAATTTTAATGATGTTTTTAAATTAATTTTATTTTTTAAGGTTAATGAGTAACAACTATCTTAAACTCCAGAAACCTAAATTAGGATATTATCTGACCTTAAAAATTTTAAAAGAATTATACTATAAAAAAGCTACATTTATGAACTAACATTTTTCTTTACATTTAATCAGTGTACATCTTTACAGTGTACAACATGGTTTTTCCCATTATGAATACAGTGCATATTAGTCAAGTCAAAGACGTTACCATTTGAGAGCGAAAGGATCAGGGAAGAAAATAAACAAAACAAAAATGGTGCATATAGCCTGCTTAATAATAAAAAAAAAAGACAAAACATTAAATGAACAAAAACATGGAAAATTATCTGCTGATGACAGGGTGTATGTAATTTCTTTGACTGGACAGACATGCATACTGGGAAAATTCATTTTCAATGTTATAATGACATAGAGTGATCGGATGTACAAAAATTAGAAAATATAAAATGAAATAACTTTTTAGCCTACAGCCTTCTATCCAAATGTTTACCCAGAATCACTATAAGTAGTGCCTTTTTTTTTTTTTGAGAGGTTTTCACTATAGGGCGCGTGCGCTCACCAGACAGACAGAGAGAGGCAGAGAGACAGAAAGCGAGAAATCACCCCCCAGGGGGGATGGTCACGCCGCAATCCCTTCTCCTCCTTTCTCTTCTCAGGATCTTGGGCATGCATCCACACGCGCCCGGCGTGAGTTTTAAGCCACCGGGTCTGGGACTTGAACCGCGGTCGACTAAATGGGAGTCCAGCGACATAGCCATTACGCTAACTGCTGGTTCCCAGTAGTGCCATTTTAATCAGCATATGGATGCCCATTAAACTGTATTTAATGAAGCTATAAATTGAATCATGTTCTCTATTCAACGTTATCTTTAGAGGTGCTTTTTATTTTGTTCCATTCTAGTATGTGATCCTTAGTTTTAAGTTTATCCAGCTTCCCAGACGACTGATCTAGGACTCATGAAAATTAGCTTCTAGTCTATGTTCTACTACTTCTTAAATATTTGGCCTTCTGCAAGACATATATAACATTTATGTCTCTCACTTCAGTCCTACATTAAATGAGCTGGATACTAGCTGATCTTCAAAGCTCCATTTAGTCATGAAATTTTTTATCATTCATCAGTCCATCAAGTGGTGATAACCATAAATAAAATTTAAATAAGGAATTTCTAACTTAAACTAGGAAACTTTTTCTAAGAATATTTAGCCAGATAATTAAGCATTCCTAGAAAATGTCTTTAAAGTTAAGTTCATTAATTAGATTTTTAAAACGCTGGACATAGCTATACATTCAATGTCATATAAATATTTATCTTTATGATATCAATGTGTTTTAAAAATTCAGGTCAGGTATTTTAATTGTACATAGATGAATTTGTGTATACGTTGTCTTTTACAATGTATAGAAAGTACGTATCACGGTGTCTGAAAACTTGAAATTGTGTAATAAATGGAGTAAATATATTTAGGAGTAAATAAAATTTGGAAAAACAACATGTTTTCGTAAACAGTTGTTCCCTAATATACTCTTGTCTTCCCAGATCATCTAAGAATTGTGACTTTTTTTTTTTTTTTGGAGGGTTTGTACTATAGGGTGCGTGCGCTTGCCAGACAGAGACAGAGAGATAGAAAGCGAGAAATCACCCCCCAGAGGGGATGATCATGCCGCAATCCCTTCTCCTCCATTTTCCTCTCGGGATCTTGGGCACGCATGCACATGCGTCTGGCGTGAGTTTAAGCCACCGGGTCCGGGACTCAAACTGCGGTGGACTACGTGGGAGTCCAGCGATATAGCCATTACGCAAACTGCTGGTCCCGTTATTTTTTTTTTCTTTTTTTGGAGAGGTTTTTGCTATAAGGCATGTGTACTCGCCAGACAGACAGAGAGAGACATAGAGACAGAAAGCGAGAAATCACCCCCCAGGGGGTATGGTCACGCCACAATCCCTTCTCCTCCGTTCTCCTCTCGGGATCTTGGGCACACACACACATGCACCCGGTGTGAGTTTTAAGCCACCGGGTCCGGGACACGAACCACAGTCGACTATGTGGGAGTCCAGCGACATAGCCATTACGCTAACTGCTGGTTCCCGGTCCCGTTATTTTTTTAAAAAACAAATTATATAAGATGAAATGAGAAAAGAAAAGTGACACTCTAGATTATGGGTTTTAAAGTGAATTGCTATAAACAATTTTAGAGTTTCATAAATGAACTACATTAAATTAACCGAAGCTGATAATACACAGAATTATGTACCTGATTTTACAACCTGAGAGACTTCCTTTCCAGATATATGAGCCATGTGTCCCAATATAGAAAAAATAGCAAATCCAGCAAACACACTAGTGAGGCAGTTTGTCAAACAGACTACAATGGCATCAGAGAAGCAGTTGTTATTGAACTTATTGTAAGATGATAGAGCAACTAAGCCACCCCAAGCCACTGAAAGGGAGTAAAATATCTGAGTAGCAGCATCTTTCCAAACCTGTAAGAGAAAATTATTTAATATTTAAAATATATACTTAAGTTTTCATTTGTATCAAATATTTACCTATACATACATATTATACATAGCAATAAAATAAATACTGAGGAGCCCATTACCCACCTTAAGAAATAAAATGTTGCCCATTGTTTAAAGCCTCTTTATGCCTCCTCCTGATCATACCACCCTTCCACCCTTCAGTGGTAAATGCTACTCTGACTTTTGTGTTTATCATTTCCTTGCTCTTTTTTTATATCTAGCTTTGTATATTTTTAAATTACAGAACATTTATCTTAATGCATGTAAACTTACATAATGTGATTTTTTCATTCAGTATTGAAACTTTCCCATTATCAAATTGAATGACATAAAATTTTAATTTTGTATCTCAAAAAGGAAACAAAAACCCAAATTCATGTGGTTCTAAACATATGGCATTGTTTTAATTGTTTTTTCTGTTTCTCTATTGCCCACTATGTACACCACAATTTATCCTTTCTTCTGTTGATGAACAGACATTTAGCTTGTTCAATATTTTGCTATTACATAGCTTTGAACATTCTCGTATATGTCTTCTCCTATCTAGATGTGTAGATCAAATCTTACTAAATCTTGCCTAATTGTTTTCCAAAGTGATTATACCAATTTGCACTCCTACAGCCTAAATATGAGAATGCTAGTCCACCAAATCCTTACTAAGAGTTGGTTATAATCTTTGATATGATCCAATCTACTAGCTTGAAATAACAGTTTTGATTACACTAATTATTAAAAACATTAGCAACTTTTTATAAATCATATCCATAGGATTTTTTTTCTGTGAAATTACCATTTCTGTCATTTGTCAATTTCTTGCTTATTTCTCTTATTTTATTTTTAGAAATTATTTATGTCATTTCAATTCTAATCCTTGGTCTATTAAAAATACTGATTTTTTCCCCTTCCAATTTGTGTCTTATTTTTTTATCTCTTTACACTGCATCCTTCAATGAAAATATGTTTTTGGTGTTGGTTTAATATAACCAAAGGTATATACCTCTGCTTATATGTATTGCTTTCTGTTAAGGTTCTGTTACTTAAAAAATATGTTTAGTCCATGATTATAAGGATACTACCTATATTTTATTCTAAAAGTTTTAAAGTTTTGCTTACATTATTAAATTTTCATTCACCTGAAATTTACACTGTGCATGCTAAGATGTGGGATTCCCAATTCTTTTTCTTTTTTCCTAAATGAGATATCAGTTGTTTAAAGATAATTAAGATTATCAATTATATGAACCATGGTTCATGTATATCAATCATTCACCAATTACATCAATTGGATAAGCCATTCTTTCCCATTGATCAGCATTGCTATGTCTGCCACATATAACGTTCCATTTGTTCATGAATTTATTTCTGAGATTACTATTCTGTCTCACTGGTCTATATGTCTATACTTATGCTAACACCACACTATTTTAAGTACTACAGCTTTGTAATATGTAATAGCATTTCCTATCAGGTAGGACAAGTCCTCTTCATTTCTCCAGATATACCTTGGTTTCTGGCCTTTTTATGTTACATATTAATTTTAGAATCTGCCTTCAAGGTCCACAGAAAACTCCATTGGGGATTTTATTGAAATTCTACTGACTATATGCATCAATTTGTGGAAAATAGAAACACATTGTTAATAAAGCTAGTACTAGACAATTTTGGAGAATGATGATACATTTAAACACCCCATAGATCAATGTGTTCCCTTGTTTAATGTTCCATGTAGGTGGCTTCATCTCTTCAAGCAGCCTGCTCATACTTTTAATCTAATCTCACTTCCTAACTACTCCCTGTTTCACAATTTACACTTCCTATGTGTTTATTGACGGACAATGATTAACTTAGAAACGAATTTAAGTTCATGTATTTTAACAGTGAAGTTCTTTGTATGTAACCCTATCCCAAAGTGAGGGGAGGGAACTTAACTGTGCAGATTTCAAATAATAAAGATGGTATATGCAAGGGGACTTCAAAAGACCAGTAAAAAATGAATTATCAGTTTATTTTGGTGCAAGAAATTTTAGAATCAACCCTTAGTTTTTTTCATAATATGTATTTTACATAACATTCTTTAAAATCTCTTGTATCTGGGGAAAAAATATGTTTTTTACCCTTTAAAAATAGGACTGGTCAGTAGAAGGCAAGCAGTGTAACATAGTGACTAAGAATTCTGACTATGAACTCAGAAAGAATGAAGTTTACATCCAACATCTGTCACTCTCTTTTACTTCAATTTATTTAGAACCTTTTTAAGCCTGTTTCTTCACCTATAAAATGGAGATTGTGAGGATGATAGTAATAATATTTTCTAAGGAATAATGTAAGAATGAAATGAGATTACACATGCAAAGCTAGCAGGATGCTCAACAGTAACTATTATTGTTATTATGGGAAATGATCATAAACTGATTTTTTATAGAGAGAGAAATTAAAAACAATTCCCCCCCCTTGAATATTATTTCAATAGAAACAAAGTTGTTAGGGAGTAAATAAATATTACTAGGTCTTCAGAATACAGCTTGAGGTACCAGCAGTTAGCGTAATGGCTATGTTGCTGGACTCCCACATAGTCGACCGCGGTTCGCTCCCGGATCCGGTGGCTTAAAACTCACACTGGGCACATATGAGTTCATGCCCAAGATCCCGAGAAAAGGGATTGTGGCATGGCCATCCCCCCAGGGGGGTGATTTCTCGCTTCCTGTCTCTCTGTCTCTCTGTCTCTGTTTGTCTGGCGAGCGCACACGCCCTATAGTGAAAACC